AGCATTCGAGGGGGTACTCAAACTTTCCTTATGTGGCATCCTAGGAGTTATTTCATTCAGGAAGGCAGCCCTGGGCATTCTCACACTCTGTGAGATGTTACCAGATGTCACCTAATAACAAGCCTAATCTATAATATAGCAAATGCTTGGTTTATTCAGAAAGATTTGCTTTCACAGCAAGGTGGGTGCCTGACTCCCCAAACATCGGGACCTGGGGCTCAGCACCCTGTACCCCACCCCTGCACATCCCACACAGCCTGTTTCTTCTTAGCTTCTCAGTTCTCAAGGCCACAGAATTATCTAAGTTTTACCTTTGTGAGAAACATATCTCTTCTGTGAATAAATGCAGCTTTTGTCCTGGCTTGGCCGTGCACCAACACTTCCTTTTTATAGCATGTGTGTATACGTGTACTGACACCACATCCTGACCCCTGACACAAAACACCTTGTCAGCATGAATGAGGCAGCAAGGCCAGCCATCATCCATGCCCTGCAGGGAGGGTGATCTGCAGCCCTCCTGTCCATGTGCTGTCCTGGGCCCTGGCTGGGTGGGTGCCTGGGCTGCTGCTGCAGGGGCAGTGGGACAGCCCATGGGGGCACCAGGCTTACCAGAAGCATTTCCTGCCAGCTGCCTGTTTCTGCTGCTGCAGGGCTGGGGTTGCAGCACCTGAGGAAGTGGGGAAACACTCACTTGGGTGTTTTTTTGCACTTGCTGGTTCAGTCTCGGCACAGCCGGCTGCTGCTGTGACAGTGGAAAACACGAGGGTTTAGGAGGGGAGGGCATGAGCCCCAGAGTCGCTGGTCCTTTGAGCCCAGACCATCCTGCATTGTATGTAAAATCTCATGTTGCTCTCTAACATCTGTATTTTTGTAACTAATTTTTTACCAATTAAAGCAAAAAGTTTTATACTGCTTTTTTGTTTACAAATAGTATCTGATTTAAACCATCCCTCCTATTTAATTTCTTTACTTTTTTTTCCTCTTCAAATGTATCTAGGAGACTGTTTTTTATTACGGGGATGAGCATTTCTTATTCCTCTGGAGGAACTAAAAGGTGTAGGAAGTCCAGGGGCGTAATCACTTGTGGGTAGGTAAACCAGGGCCCTGACAGGATGAAGAACAGCCAGGACCTGTGAGAAGGTGGGTCACACTCCATAGGCCAGGGTCTGGGAAGGGGAAGAGCAGTTTGCACTTGTTTTGGCTTCTCCATAATGAGGCATGTAAAAATACTAACAAACCCCCCACTATCACAACCCTTTTATTCTTTCTTGTCTATTTTTAACATTAGGAGCTGTACCTTGGGTTTGCTCTGTCAAAAAACACAAGAGGCCCTGACACACCTGAGCTCCCTAGTTTTCCAGAACAATACCTGTGACCAGCTGAGTGTCTTACTGGGTTTCCAAGGGGATGTTTCCTCCCATCTCCCAATTCCAGGTACATGTGTGTATACACGTGCAGACAGTGATACGCCTTCACACCTGCACACCACAATTTTCAGAAGATACAATTGTGCCAGAGGATGTAAATAAACTCTCTTTTGAAGGTGTTTCCTGCTGAGCCGGGGAGGGGAAGGAGCTCAGCCCTTCCCCAAACCAGTGCCTGACTGAAGGTGGGGACAGGCAGAGCTCTGGGGTGCCCTCCTCCTCAGGAGCCAGGGATCTCATCAGGAGGAGGAGGAGAGGCCCCGAAAAGCTTTGGAGGGTCTCAGGGAAGGTCCCTGTATATATTTGCTAGACTGGCTCAACACAGTTTTGAGTGTCAAGAGGTGTGACGACGGCTCCTGTGTTAACTCAGCCCCCCAGCAGTTGAGCCCCAGTCCAGCTGAACAGCAGCACTAAGCTCATGCCCTTCAGTGCAGCACGTTTCTGCTGTAAGAGCTAATTAATTAGTTTCTGCAAAGCCCCTTGAAGGGCTAAAGGGCTAAGCAAGGGCACAGCATAGTTATTCAGAGGGTGTGAGCTTCAGAGCTTAATGGGCGCTACTTAAATATGAACTGAGTTAGATATCTTGGTTTGTAATTTCTTTATAATGTAAAAGAACAAGGAAAGCATCTAAGAAACGCCCCCCCCCAGTAATTTTCAGCAGTGTTCACAGCCTCGTGTCTTTCTGCATGATTTGGGATTTGTCGTGTATTTGCTTCCAGTTCTATCAAATTAATGGATGTATTTATTTGACTAGAATGTTGTTTGTTTGTTTGTTTTAGGAAATATTTTCTACTACAGTGCTGTTTTTCAGGGTGACTTCTGTTGATTCCTTTCATGTTTACCATGCTGATGGAAACTTGGTTTTGACATTAGTAGTAGATTCTCCCTGGAATGGATGCTGCGCTTTGTAGATAGCTTGCAATTGTTCCACACTAACAAAAACTTTATTAAAAGGACTTGCTCTCCAGGAAAGGAATTTGCAACGGATTTTTTTCCTATGTTTCTTCTGGCAATTGTTTTTCTTTTCTGACAATGGGGGAAACACAGTTTCAGGGGCAGTCACAGGCACTTTTGTATCCTGGTGATGAAATTCAGCCACTGCAGTTGGTCCAAAGTCCATGGAAAGACTCAGGATTCTTGTTCTGCCAGACTTGAAGTAGAAGACATTCAGCATAACCACACTTGCCTCTACTCCTAATATTTCCTCCCCAAAGCCTTTTCCCTGAAACACCCTGTCAGGAACAAGGAACCCAGGCTCTGGTCTGTGAGTCACACCAGTCCATGCCCATGCCCAGTTAAAACATTAATTGGATGTTGGTTCTGTTCTTTCCTCCTTGTGTGTTTGTCCAGACAGCTGACAAGATGACCCAGATTATTTTCTCAGATGATTTGTGTTGTGCCTTTACAGATGGCCGTGCAGGTGACAGAGGAGCACCTCTATCCCATCTCATGGGGAGGGGGGACCTGCTGCCACAGCAGGATATCGGGGAGAGGAGGAAACACCCTTCAGTGGGAAAGGGCACGTGTGTCCTACTGAATTACAGCCCTGGAAAAGAGGAAAGATAAAACAGGCAATGGATTACTGGGCCTCATGGAGAGCCAAGGGCAGCCAACCCTGGAGAGTCAGCTGCTGCCACAGCATTCCATGTGGGCACAGCCACTCTGCGGGAGGTACAGTTCAAAGGAAGAAAAGAGGTGAGCAAAACAGAGCTTCTTGAAGGAGGATTAATTTCACAGGCTGACATATTTTTTTTTTCCCCACTTTTGCCATTTGTTGGCATGGGATGGTGATGAGAGGAGCTGGAGCTGAGCTGCAGGGCTCCTCGGGCCTCCCATCAGCAACAGAAAACCCCGGGATCCCATTAGGCTCTCTGTCCCTCCTGAGCAAAGGACCTGCATGCTAGCCTTTCTAACTATGTTTTTTTTTTCCCAGTGAAGTAACCTGGATTTTTTAACTTTTTTTTTTTCATGTTTACTCACTTCCTAATTTGCAAAGATTAATTAATTCACAATGGATGTCTCAGTCATGGCTGCGAATTAGTGAATCGTTAATGTACTAAGAGCTCTCTCATGTGCTGAATTTAATTCCTGCTTCTAAGAGCTTAGAAAAATCATGCTCTCAGTGCTGAGGGATTTTTCCCTGCAGTGTGTAGGGATGGTAATTGCACTGAACCCATTTCTTGCATGATCTCTTTTCCAATGGTCATTTGTAGTGTCTATTTGCCAGGAGCTGGTGTTGAATCCCTGTACCAGTGCTTCCCTTTAACAACTTCTTCTCTCTGTTTAGTACCCTGAATATTATCTGTTTAAATTTGGGTGTTTTTAGCCTAATTATGGGTTAACAATTTGAACTGCCAACATTTTGCTGACTGCACACTGTGGGTGCAGGTGAGCTTGGGAAGGCCCTGTCACCTCACACCTGCCTGCTTCAGGTCCAGGGTTGCTGCATCTCTTACATCTTTATATAACAGCAAGTAGATATTTGGGGGCTATAAGGAACTATATATAAATATATTGTATTATATATATTATATTGCAGGGATGGCTGCAAGTGTGATCAGAAGCATTTTTCCATGCCTGAGCCGTAGCACACGGCTGACTTAGATGGCTGGTCCAGGAAGACCCCCAAGAGGTCAAGAGGCAGCTTTGCCCACTGACACCACTTGCCCTCAGTACAGCAAAGCAGGGAACTACAACACCTGGAATTCAGAGCTGCAACTGCTGCTTGCAGGAAAACATTACTACATGGAGGAGCCTGACCCAAACCCTCCCCAGCAATGTGACAAGGAAGTGCAGAAGGGGATGTGGAGACACGCAATCAAAACGAAGCTGAAGACAGAAGCTGTCAGCTCCCAAGGAGCTTACAGACATTTTGGGAAAGCAGGCCAGCAGGTCCCACACTGCTGCACGGTGGGACCGCAGCAGACCCGCTGGGATGAGGTTTTGCCTCATGGCTTGTAAGACATTCATGACAAGTTCCATTAAAAATGTATTTTTCTTCTTTAAACACTGTGTATTATACCACACTAATGGACAATATCAGCTTGTTCTCTGCTGGGAAAGGTGTGGGCTCTTCTCAATCCAGGCTAATCTGCATTTGTCACTGTGACAATAATAGATGAGTATTATGTACAGGGACACAAAAACAGCCCGGAGCCCTTCCGTGCTGCAATGGGAACTGCAGAAAACCTCCAGACTGTAATTCACCAGCACCTGATGCATCACGACGCTCAGCCCATGTCCAAGGTACAATGCTGATTCCCTGACTCCACACAGGAGCACTGAGGGTCACGACGTGGGAAAGGAGCTTTGTGACAGTGCAGAGAGTGAGGAGGGTCTGCAGGAGGGCAGGGCAGAGAGGGGGATGGGGGGCAGTAATAATGAAAAAGAACAATAAATGCAAATTACAAAACAATAAACCCCAAATAGTAAATTTAAACAATAATTAATTAAAAAATACCGAGTACTAATAAAGAATAAAAGAACAGGCTGCACGTGTGGTTTTGCGTTCAGCTTTGGGCCCCTCACTTTAAAATGGAGCTGGTCTAGAGGAGGGCAACAGGGCTCCTGGAAGGTCTAGAAAACCTGTCTTATGAGGAACACCTCAGGGAGCTGGGTTGGTTTAATCTTGAGAAAAGGAGGCTCGGGGGGACCTCGTCGGTACCTACAACCATCTGAGAGGAGGCTGCCGTGAGGTGGGGCTGGTCCTTTCTGCCGTGCCTGCAGGGACAGCACAGAAGGAGGTGGCCCTAAGCCGAGACAGAGGAGATTCGGATCAGATGGTACAACAATTTTTTTTCCGTCTTAGTTTGCCCGAGGCATTGGAATAGGTTTCCCAGGGAGGTGGTGGGATCGCCGCCCCTAGTGAGAGGAGTCTGGATGTGGCGCTGGGCGATGTGGTTCAGGGGTTACACTGGTGCACGGCTGTAGTGGATTATCCTAAAGGTTTCTTCCAACCTCGAGGATTCCACGATTCTAATAAAGAAAAAAAACCAAAAAACTTGCGAACAGTGAAACGAGAAAATAACGAAGGCGCGGGGTGGGCCGGGCGGTACCGGGTCCGCCCCGGGTCCTCCGCGCCGGCAGGGGGCGGTGCGGGGCGCGGCGGGCGGAAGCGCGGGCGGGGGCCGGGCCGGAGCGGAGCGCGGGGAGCGGAGCGGGGCGGGGGGACAGGCCGGGCCGGGCCGGGCGAGCAGGGCCGCCGCTGCCGCACCGACAGCCGGAGCACAGCGCCCAGAGCCGCCAGGGCGGGCCCGCCCGCCGCGCCGCAGGTACCGCGGGGCGGAGGGGGCCGCGGGCATTGTCCGGAGCGGGGCCCGGCCGTGCCCTGCGGGCGGCACGGCCCGCGCGGTGCCCGCCGCGCTCCCGGCCCGCTCCCCGCTGGCTGCCGGGGGGGACCGGCCGGGCCGGGGTGGGTGCCGCGGGTGCGGGGCAGCCGTGCGGGGAATGGCACGGCCGGGGCTGCGCCGCCCGGCAGGCAGCGCCGCGGTCCCGGAGCTCTCCCAGCGCCGGGCCGGGAGCGATCGCCGGGGAGCGGCGCGGGGGGATCCCCGGAGCGGCCGGGCCGCCCCCGGGGCAGCGCCGGTCCCGGCACGGCGGCAGGGCCGGGCCGGGGGCTCTTTGTTGCGGCCGTGGCCGCACGGACCGGCCCGGGCTGCGGAGCCGGCGCGGCCTCCCGGGGTCCTGGGCTGAGGCCTCTTCCTACAATTGTTGTTCCCGTTGGGAGCCCCGATGGGCCTCTGCAGCGGGAGCCGTGCGAGGGGGCTGCTCGGAGCCTGTGTTCCTTCGGACTGCCCCATACAGAGCTAACACAGCATGTTAAATAGCAGAAAAAAAGTTTTGTCTCTTTTTTTTTTTTTCCCCTGTGAAATACAACCGGTACTGAAATCAGGATGTACTCAGTGTTGGTGGCCTTTTAAATTTTTCTTTATTTTTAAATTTTAATTTTTGGTGAGGGATCACGTAGGTGCTCACGATTTATTTAAAATATGGGAATGGTGTGATTTAATTTGCATGATGAGTCAAAGATTAAATTACATGACCGAGGCTCTTCAGTTTCAGTGAGGCAAGTAACAATGTGTGGAAGAACAGTTTCAGTGTAGATCAGAAAAGAAACTTGATTAGCATCAACATATTGAAAAGTTCTTTTATGTTTGTGGTTTTTTTTTTTTTAAACTTACCTGTCAGAAACTCTTAGTTCAAGGCCCTGTGTTTTCCTCTCATCAGGAAGTGTGTCTTCCTTTTTAGCACGGAGAGCTCATGCAATCATAGACTGTCAGAGGAAATTAAACATCCTGAGCTTGTGCCTTGGTATCAAAGCTTTTAAATAATAGATTTTTTACTATCTAAAACACTGTGTGCCTTTAATTAATAACTGTTAACCTAATACCTGTTGATATGGCACATGCCTTTAACTGGGGACAACAAAAATACCAGGATATATTCTGTGAAGTAGAATAAACATGGTACCTGTTCTAGGGTCAGGAATAACTGCATTTTTTTTAGTTTTCGCTTATCCTGTGCAAACGTTTTAGCTAATCTGATCTGTAAGTGGCATGATGGCACATGGCACTGTGTCTTGGTAGGATTCTGCCTGTCATGGACCCGCTGTTGTAAGAATATTGTATCTCACAGCTTCATGGTTCTCTTGTGGTGTGAGAAACTGCTGGGTTAGCCAGCTAGGAGGCACTTGACTTTAATTTATTTGTATTTAATAAGTTGTGGTGTGATATACCAGTTGTTGGGGGCTTTCCTTGGTCAGACAGATGCACCTTGGTAAAGCCTTGGAATGTGAGTTTGTATGTGTGAACTGAGATGCTGCTGAATGTTTCTGAATGCTGATAGCATTGGTTCTTTTGCTTAAGTTAATTGCATTCTCTTCTGCGTGTTGGTGCAGAGTTGTGGAACTTTGCTGCCTTCTGTGTGCCTGTAATGAGTGGTTGTAGGTGGGGAATTAAAAACCTGGATTGATATATTTTAAGATTTATATATTTATACAAATAAAGGATACTAAATAAAAGTGCCAGTTGAGCAGTACTTTGTGACAGTATGTCTTTGACAGATAATGATGCTCTTTGGGTATCATCAAGTACAGACAAATGTACATTCCCAGAGGGGTGTGATAATATTAAAACTCCACCTCCTGGAATTCCTTGATTGGTTTTATGAAACATTTATTCAGGAGGGAATGGTATCTATTTTGCATTTTGTGGCCTCTCATTAATTAGTGGATGGCGGTTGAGACCTGACAGTTGTCCTGTACATGCTGCACTTCCTAGGGTTTTTGTTTCTTAGGGCATTTTGGTGAATATTATCATTACTGACCAGCGTCCTCCCTTCTGAATCAGTTCTTTATTGACTTTTTGCAGATTTTTTTAATGAGTTGTTTGCAGCCTTAATTTTTCTGTAAGACATTTCTGAAAGCTCATAATCTCTGTACATGCTTAGAGGCTTTTGACACTTGCTAAAATAATGATTTCTCTTTTTTGGTAGAGTTCCAGAACTCTAATAGCTGATGGTGGTTTGAAGCAGGGGGCAGGAAGGAGCCTGGTGACCTTTTGAATTCCCTTCTGGCCCTGCTTTTCTGTACTTGTGACACTTTGTAATATGATTTAATTACAAGAGCAGCTATTAAAGTATGATTATCGTGGTCTAATTGGAGGCATCTTGCAGCTACCTATCAAAAATAAGATTTGACTCATCTGCTCCTTCAAAATTAAATAGTTCCACAACAGCCTGCAGCTATTTATGTGAATAATGCACAAGGCAGAAATATGAGTTGAATTTCAATCTTGTAATTTCTACACTGTACACTTGAAATCTGATAAATTTAGCAATTTTTTGGGTCACATGTACTTGTACGACTTCTTAGCTGCAGGCTGAAACTGGATATTAATGACATTGGACAAAAACCTGTTTAGTTGTTCAGTGATCCTAAGTCCTGGTGTTCACCATGGCTGTAGATAAACCTCAAGCAAGATGTAAAATTCCTTTTGCTCTTTGTTCTCAGAAAATGCTACTTCCCCAGTTTGTTGTCTAATTGGGGGAGTTAATTAGTCTGAATTGTGTGCAAGTTCAGCTCCCCTTCCCTTCCAGCTGGGCCCTCTCTTTGCTCTCTCTCAGTACCATCCTTCTGGCACCACGAGGTGCAGAGGTGTGAGCCAGAAGGAAGATGAATATCTGCAGTTAGAAGGTGAAACTTTATGCTGAGATCCCTCCCCATCCCCCCAGTGCAAACACAAAGGTTAAATTAGAAGATGAGGCTGTCTTGAATTATTTTAACGGACTTGAGCTGGGCTGTTCAATACACGACCGGGGGTACCTCAGGCTTACCCTGGTGTCATGTGAGTTTGGGCTTTCTTTAGCCTGAGCAGATTTATGTGCTTTCCTTACTGCACCTTGTGATAAAATGACATATTCGTTTGTCCCTATTTAAATACTCCTTATGAAGGATTGGATTCAGGCTTGATCCAAACTGGAAGCAGCCAAAATACCGTGTGTTTACAGGAATAACTGTGGTCATTCCTCAAGAGCCTTCATGGCCTCTTTTCTTCAGACAGTGTTAATTTAGGAAGTAAATTGCTTAGGTTTAAATAAACAACTGCAATTTGCTTTGTAACTCCCTTGTTTTGAGTTTTGCAGCTGATGCTTCGTATAACCAAAAGACACTACAAAAAGTTTCTCACTGCCTACTTCAAATTTGCTGAAAGGAAGCAAATTTTAAGCCTATCCAGAAGGGCACAAAATTCTGGGGGATATTGCTACATGTTGTAGCTAATCTTTCTGTCTATTGAAAACCTGCTACTTGTAATTAAATTCCGAGTAACTTTCTGAAGATCTGTTTGCTCTGTAATCCTCCCCTTCAAACACTCAGAGAATTCATCACCAAAAGGTTAAATATAGCAAGACAGTTCAAAAATTGGCAAGTTATAATTAGTAGAGAACTGCAGTATTATTGTAGCATGGTTTTCCAAGTTCACAAACATCTTTGGATGAAGTTATTTATTGGTTACTACTTGGGGTTGTTTTAAAACGTTCAGATATATCCTGCCATGTGTGGGAAATGGCTGCATCAGGGAAAAACTGCTCTGTGCTTTTGATCCTTGCCCTGTTGAGTATTTTTTCAGTCAGTATTTATTGATAACAAATTCATTTTTCTTACTAAGAGAATGTAACTGTAAGTTTAACTGCAAACCCTGCAAGATTTGAAACGTGACACTTAAAAATAGCTAAGATAGAACTTTGCTATAAATTAAATAGAATTAATTTGTCAGCTTTTCAGGGAGTTGAATGTGTGTGACTGTGAGAGCAGTACTTGTGTTCAGTCACCCGTGTGTGTGAAATGCCTTATCTCCTTTGAAGTTATCTGTGTTAAAACATAAAATGAAAAAAATGGAGAAGTGTTCCCAGAAGTGTGGAATGCGTGGTCTTTTTCTGGCTGCTGAAGCTGCCCAGACAAATGGCTGATATCTGAAGAAATACCTCTTTCTGAAAAGTTTTTATTGTTTTGTTTACTGACTTTTAAGTAAAGCGTGGTGGTGCAGAGCGATGGGAGGAAAGCCAGTTGTACAGACAGTTGTGGAAGCCCCCTCCATGTCCCCAGCCAGATCTTTTGTCTAGTGCCACTTCACATTTTGCCAGGCAGAATCCTACTGTGCAGCTTTCTCTGTCATTTTTCCCTTTGCTCACCTGGGAAGCCTACCATGGATGGATATTCCCAAATATTCAGAGCCACACCGGCTTCCCATTCCCAGCTCATCTGCTGAGGAGCTCGGTTTAAAGAAGAGTCTGCAGACACTGAGTGGTCAGTGACACCTTGTGTGGTGTGGTGTGGTAGATGTGTGTGCTGATAGCACACACTCAGAGCATCCTGCTGCAGTGGAGGCTCTGAGCTCTTCCTCTGGGTAAGCACTTTTGGGAGCTTTTGCTACAGTTATGAGGCAAAAGTTATTTGTGTTGTTATGTTTTGTTTTTGACTGTTACATGTGAAGTTACTGCTTTGGCAGATTATGGTCCTTTTAATAGATGTCAAAAGACTTTTATTTCTTGATGTATTGTAATGGTTTATAAAATTAACCACGATGTAACATTTTGGCTTTATTGGAGATCATGTAGAGATAAAGAAAGAGCAAAAGCAAAGTCACAGAGAAGTATGGTTTTAGAAAAGAAAATATCTAGGAGGTTTTATTCAACCTAAATGAGACCTTAGTGATGGAGACATGCACTGAGTGTAACACAGGTGATCCCTGAGAAGTCTCTCCCACACAGTTTATGTGTAACCTGTCACACCTGCTATTCAAGTCCTAAGTTTCTTCTGACTGGAGATTGGTGGTGATGGAGAAACTTCTCAGGAAAATTTAAAGTGATACCTTTGAGGGGGGACACTCAAGGCACAGTTCCTGGTAAAGACTTTGTACGTAGTATGATATTAGAAAAAGTTGACAAAGCAAAGTTAACATCTCAGAAGTTAGCAAATACTCAGAACCTTGCTTTGCTCATGCTGATTTGGAACAAAAAGTTTGATTATGTGATTGTTTACAGGCTTTTCCAGCAGGAACCTCTGCTCCATCACTGCACAAGAGAGTGCTCAGTGCAGGGACATCTTTCTCTTGTGGTTTAGTTGCAGTGTAGTGTTTGGTCTTTTGCTTTACTGCATAAAACTCAGTTCTGTGAAGACAGGAGGACTGAGGTCCTTGTGGGTTTTCTCTTTGGTTCACAGATACCGATGACAGCACATATTCCCAGTGTTCTCAGCATCATGGTGCTTCTTTCCCCTTTTTTCCAGGGCACGATGCTTAAG